TTAGTGAGAGGAATGAAGTAGAATGAACACAGAAAATTAGAATTGGCATTACAGATGATTTCTACAATCTTATCACAGTGTTCAGTTTATTTCTGTATTTTGTTTCCATTTTAAATTTTAAACTGTGCTCCTGTTTATTAGTTGCAAATTCTACATTGTTTTATTAAGCTTTTTGCCAACATCATAATACTTTTAAACTAATTCAAACTCTTGAAAGACGAATAATAAAAATTCCATTACAGTGTAGAATTACTAAAATATTTAAACCTGCGTGGGTTTCTTATAATAGACAAACATAAGACTTTTGAAGTGGATGTTAAATGAGCATTAAATCTAAGATTGACTTCCTCATTTGTTCTTGCACTGCTTTCTGTTCTGTCTTAATTTGTATACTGAAAAAAATGAGGTTTGTATACTGAGAAAAATGTACCTGTTCTTCAAAGCATTTGAGCACTCTGAATGCATGTTGCTATATTGTGTGGCTTGTAAGATTTTATGTGATTGTACATATGAAGGTCTTTATTTTTTTAAATTACCTGTGGAAGCATGTCTTTTCCTATCAGTGATACATTTAAAAAATGCAGCTGAGCTTAAAATATGGTAATCTCTACCAAAAGTGGATCCTGCTTTTCCTGTTGCAAATAGATTGGTTGATAGTATATTTGGAATCCAGCGCATAATATTTATCCCACTCTTGTTCTTCCGTCATCTAAAATGTCCTCCCTTCCCATCTGATATGACTAAATCCATTCTACATGTCTTTTAAGGCTCTTTTTCCTATGTAGCTTAAAAAAATGTAATATCAGTTTTCATGCAGAATTGTTACAGCCATCTATTCAGATGTATGACCTGAGTTAGATAATCATACCACCAAGTACATCTGTCTTTAATTTGGCAATATGAAATAGTCACATAGTGTTTTCCTAGAGATTTCACTCTTGAACTATCTCCTGCTTCGTTCTTATTAGAACCTCTGTAGTGAGAAAACCACATTCATAGATTTCTGCAAGGATATGTGTTTCATTCTTTTTGGTTTTTTTTAGACTAGAGGCTCTCAACTTTCTTTGAAGTAGTAAGCCCTTTGAAAATTTGCTGCAAACTGTGGACTTCTGCATAGAAAATACATGTATTTTTATGTACATATTTAGGCTCAGGGACTTCTTGATTTCTCTGTATCCCATGCATGCTAGTTAAAAACTCTTGCTCAGAAGTACAATTAAATCCTTAGAGTAAGCCTGACCATCAAGAGGGCAGTGTTCTCGAACCACATTGTTTGCTCCCTGATTAAATTGCTTTTACTGACTCGTACCTTGTTATGCTTCACCCAGTATGGAGGAAACTTGAGAAACGGGATGTGAAATTCACTTCCATTTTGGCTATAGTAATATTGGAAACTTTGTCGCTATTTCAGTGTTTTTCAAAGCATGAAATTGCCATCCATTAGTGGGGTATGAGATCAGTTTGGTGGTCTGAACCACCAAATATTAATTGGTTTTAGTTTTTTTCCCCTGTATTATATGTAAATATTAATAAAGGCATATTTGATTTTCCTTTATAGTGTGTGTTAGTACTGTTTTATGAAACTGCTGTTTTTGTTTTTTATATAATGTATGTGCTGGATTTCTGTGTAAAATATATTTGCTAAATAACTGTTTTGTGGTTTAAAAGCTTAACAACTACTTAAAAAAAAAAACTTAAGATGTAATCAAAGGAGAAACTTTTTGTCTTTTTACTCCTGTCTATAAAATGAGAGGTAAAGTACTACCTCATAGGATTGTTATGAGATGTAAATATATGTAAAGTGCTTAGAACAGTGCTTTCCTAGCACCATACGTAGATGTTCAGTAAATGCTAGCTATCATAATTACCAAGAAAAGTAATCTTCAGAGCTAGTGTTTTGTTTTTATCTTAAATGCACACTAGAGACTTGTTATTAAGAATGTCCTTTATTTTGACTGTTAAAAAATAAACTGAGAGATAAATTTGTGGACAAAGATTAATAACTAACCTTTTGTCTATCTTCTCTTGGTCCCGAGTTCATTACTTTAGATTTTCTGTTGTATCTATGTAAGCAGCTCTCATAGCCTTTCTGGAACATCAGAGTTATCAAAATATGGCATTTTAATTTGATTCCATTAAAATTTCAGAGTTGTTTTCATATTCATCTGTGTTAGGAGGAGAGGTGGAGGTTCTTGTGAATATTTACTGCCTGCATTAAACTAGATTGATGAAACCATCTCTACCATGGTTAGTTACTGTCTTTTCACTTTTTACTGTGTGATTGAGTCTAATATAGAGAAGAGAATCTTGATAACTACATTAACTGCTGTCTGCCTTACTGAACAAGTTTTTAAGTCCAATTAAATCTGTGCTTTGTAGAAATCCAAGTTATAGTATATCTGCATGGTGAAGCTCTACTAAATCTTTTTCTATACACTGAAATAGAAAGTGGTGCATCAGAAACTTTAATAATAATATGGTTCAATATTGTTCTCCATAATGTGGCATCAGAATGATACTTAATTATTCTATATTAATATTAATTATTATCAAAGTAAATGTTACTGTGATACATATGTATCTGTTCTAAAATAACAAAATTTCTCATCAGTTTCTAATTCCTAACAAAATTTTTGATTAAGTTAAATCAATTTGTGTGGTAAAAGTGCTTGGGCAAGGAGAAAAGGAATTGCAATTTTTTAGACTCCCTCTAGCCATGTATGTTTGTTAAGACTACTTTCTCATTTGTATGTTTTTAGAAACATAGTATTTGCCATTTTGAATCTTTAGTGATAGCCAGCTAAGTCACTGTAGTCATGTCTGACTCTTTGCAACCATATGGACCATATCCCACCAGGTTCTGTCCATGGGATTCTCCAGGCAAAAATACTGGAGTGGCTGCCATGCCTTCTTCCCCGGGATCTTGCCCACCAAAGGATCAAACCCTTGTCTCCTGCAGCTCCTGTATTGCATGCAGGCGGATTCTTTACCTCTGAGCCACTGGGGAAGCCCTTTTAGTGATAGAGTAATCCATTTAAAGCTGAAAAAGATAAACAGGCTTCTCTAACTACACTGGAGATCAAATTTTGTTAAATGAGTACTCCCATGTGGCCCTGAATTTTTGAAAGCACAAATGCTTAGAAGTTCATGGTCAAAGTTATAGAATCTTTCCCTTTTGTTACTTTAACAATTTGGAGGATTTGTAATGCAGGTTACAAACCCAAACAACTTTGTGAGAATTTATTCTTGACAGGAATAAATTTTAAAAGTTTGGAGTGGGGAGAATCCGGTGATTGAGAACAGAAGAGAATGGAAGAGAAACAGTAGAAATAAGGACTTTTACAATGAAGTCTAGGTACAGTAAATGGTGAGAGAAGTCCAGACCTCAGGATATATACCTTTATCTGCTAAGATGTTAAAATCTGAGATATGTTTTTATATGGGAGAACGGATGACATGTGCATTTCATGTGAAATTATAGTGGTCATAGCTTTATAAGTATTATAAGTTTTAGGGGAAAATAACAGCAGTATTCTGTCAGAAGTATATGAATTTTCCTAATCCGTGCATGTTAGGATAGTTTCCCAGCTATACTAAAGGATACCAGTGAAGGAAAATCACTTTTGATCTTTGAGATCATGAGGAAACTTGGGGAGGTCAGTGACCCAGGCATAAAATCAGTAAGGCTTGAACATTTAATAAAATATATTAATAGAAATCTTATATGGGCAGGATCAGTAGTTGAAGACATTTCAAATGACATTATTGGCTTTTTATAGGGCTCTCTTTTTCTGAGCATAAAATTATTTATTGGTCATTTCAAGGCTTACTTGAGACATATTTCCACCAATTCTTGCTTTCCAAAAGTCCTAAATTTTTCAAGGGCTCCTGTATCTCGTTGGAAGGCAGCATGGCTCAAGGGAAGGAATCTGAGGCTTTGAAATCAGAAAGACTCAGATGTGTAAATTAGTTTTGCCATTTAGTTATTCCTGAGGTCAGTGACATCACTCTAGCTCTAGCTTTATCATCTCTGACTGGTATATGTTAAATTTTCTTTAAGGGTTATTGTGAGGTTTAGGTATAGAATGTAATTGCTCAACAAATAGTAGCTGCTGTTTCTAGTTATTTTAAGGAACCTAACTTGATGACTGTGGAAGGATTTATGGTATTTTGATTGTTCTAAAATTTTAAAAGCACAGTTGTTCAGAACTGAAGTACAGATAGAGAAATTAATCTAATTTGCATCAATTTTTCATTGCCAATGCCTACAAGTGACTTTTGTATTTTATTAACCATATGCATTTTTATATAGTCCTTAATTACATGCATAAATGGCTTTTAATGTTGTTTTTTTTTTTTTAGTTTAACCTGTTAGATTTTCCTATTAAATTTGCAGCATTATTTTGTGATAGACTGTTTTTCCATCTACTCACAAACTTTAATGATTGTAAATACAGTTGGAGGTGGGTCTGGTATTTAAATATTTGAAGCTTTGTTTCTAACGGCAATGCAGAACTGGTTCCCTTTTTATTCTTTTCTAATGCTCAGAATAAATTACTAAGAAAAATATTCTTTATGTCTCAAAATGAGCATTATATACTTTCAGGCCCTTTTGAAGAATTTTTTAATCTGTAATATAACTGTGATATGTGTTACAATTATAGTGGCCAATAAATTTTATTTCCATTTGTTTAGTATTTGCTACCTGTTTCAATTCCACAAAGGTAAATTCAGTTGGAGACTACTAAAAAATAATAAACTTTAAAGAAAACCTTCAAGAATATTTTAAAATAAGCATTACGATCATTGTTGGATGTGCTAGTCTTAGCTCATTAATAAAACTTTTTACCTGAATGAAGTTTTTTCCAAAGTGTGTTGTGATAGTTTTATTTTAAATTACATTGCAAAGGGTTTGGGGCTTTATTTCTCACCTAATGTGTATACTACTGTCCAGACATCTAGTTAGGTGAAACTGAAATGATTCAATTTTTACGTTACAGGAGATTACCTGGGGCAATTGATGTTATTGGTCAGACTATAACTATCAGCCGAGTAGAAGGAAGGCGACGAGCAAATGAAAACAGCAATATACAGGTTTAGTATTTTATGAATTTTTATTTTTAAATGAAAGATTATATCTGTGTTCTAGTTTAATTTATTTAGTCATAGCACTCTTTTGTGTGTTAGGTACTTTTTCGGTGCTTTTAATACAAAGGGGATTTAAAATGTGAATCAATCACTGCAACATAATCACTATGTTATTACAAAAACTGTTCTATTTAAAATGTATAATCTTTGGATATTTTTCAGTAAAATTTCTTTTTCCTTGCTATGAGTGTGATGTATTGGACTAAAAAAGGAAGATACGGGAAAAGTTTAAAGAAGAAGATAAAATCATCCATAGTTCTGTCATCTAAAGATAACTACTCTTAATGTTTTGATAGATCTTTTCCTCATCACTAAGTAAGATTGGGACAGATACAACTACGATTATATTTTTGTGTATCCATTTTTTCCCATTTAAAATTATCATTTGCATTTTTCCATATTCTTAACAATTTGATTTAAAAATCTCCTCTTGATAGATTTATTCTATGGCTGTACTGTAATTTATTTAATGTGACATTTCTGAGAGAAATAGATCTCGTGCTTTTCAGTTAAAAGGATGAAAGGAGATGAGTTATTAGTAGCTTGGATAACTCAAGTTTGAACTTGAGTAACTTAAGATTTTCAGCTGTTAATTGATCACACTTTTTCATTATTAATTTTCTTTCTCTGAGTACTTTAAAAAATATCCAGTGTTTTGATTCTTACTACCTTTAGTAAATTAATCCTATGAATGTTCTTTTTAGCACCTTTAAAGGTAAATTATTCCTAAACTGGAAGACAGTCCTCTGCTTTTTTCCCACCACCATTAAAAGGCCATGCTTATTCTTAAAATAACTCTGCTTTCTACTTTAAAAAATAGCTTTTCAACATAAGCCTTACGAAAATTACTGTACTTAAATGTAGGAAAAGTTAATGAAAGGAAGGATTATATGTTTAAATGATACGCTTTAGCCAGCAAGGATTTGAAAAGTATAAATATATAACATTATGTTGCCTGCTTTTTTTTGTTTTTCCCAAATGCATTTGCACATTAGAATCCGTCAGGGATCTTGTAAAAAATTCATATTTCTAGGTGCCACTCTCCTGTAGGTTTGATGCTTGTCCCTTACCTATTCACAAAGATTGGTATTTTGTAAATACTTCTGCTTACTGAGTATAAACCCTTGTTCTTAAAGTTACACGGCTCAGATGAAGAAGCTTTTTATATATCCAGTTGCCTATTACCCTATTTGATGCGTGCTTTACAGCCTCTTTGCAACCTGATGATGACAGGCTTTGGTATAATGCATATCTGGTTCCGCTGCCATCTTAGTTTCTTAATTCTGATATCTGTGACTAATGATTATATTGTCTTAATTTGAATACTTTAACTTTGGTTGAGTAACAAAGATAATACTCATTACATTTCATTTGTGAAATACTTGTTTACAACGTTATTAAATCTCTTAATTATTCCATAAAAATTTTACTTGTAATGATTCATTTTTTCCCTAGGCTTTGACTATGAACATTTTTAAAAGTGTGTTTTGAATGTATACTCACATACATGTAATGTTCACACATACCCCATGCATAGAAAAATTAGTCCTACTTCTCCAAAATATGTGTATGTGAATAAAACTTATTTCTTAGATTAAATGAGATTCATTTAGTGAGTTTACTCTTAGATAAGAATATTTATTCACCTTTTTACTTAACTCTGCTTTATTTTAGGTCCTTTCTGAAAGATCTGCTACTGAAGTAGACAACAATTTTAGCAAACCACCTCCATTTTTCCCTCCAGGAGCTCCTCCAACTCACCTTCCACCTCCTCCATTTCTTCCACCTCCTCCAACTGTCAGCACTGCTCCACCTCTGATTCCACCACCAGGTAAATAGTAAATAAGACATTTGATTCTGAAAGAAAAATAGCCTGTGAGTGTTTTTAAATTTTGAACTTAACAATTAAAGTATATATTTGAAAACAGAATCTTCACTGCATTACATTAAAAGTAATAGAACAAGAAAAATATGCTCAATCTTCAATAGATTCACACTGAAACATGTATATGTGTCTTAACAATTTCAGCAAAGCAAAGAGGCAGTGTACTAAGATAGAGACTAGTGGACTAAAACTGTGTTCCAAAAATATAGTGATTCCCCTAAATTAAAGTTGCTAATTGTGTATGTATAAACTCACAGTGAGTCGTGTTACCTTGTTTTGGAAAAAAAAAAAAAAATTAAAGATACTTTTGGAATTGCATAGGTTAAAAAAAATTATATCCTATGAAGAGAATGAAATGAAAATCTCAAGTCTAGTTGTCATCGTTCTTTGTATACTGGTTTCCTTTTCAGAGACTGTTTCTGGGTGCCAGGGGCCTATTAAACATGACAGAAAATTAATGTCAGTTTTTATCATATTCTTAGCCACTTTGGTTATTTATTAAAAGCTAGATCAATGGTAATAGAAAAAAATTCACAAATAATTCCCTAATTATATACTTTCAACTTTTCTCTGATAGCCTTCGTTATTTTATTCACAATAGGCTTTTAATATTTATATCCCTTAGCCAGTTTACTAACCAGATTGAGATAATTATTTTCTTCCTGGGGAGAGCTCCAGTAATAAGTGCTCAAAATTAGCTGCTGGTCCTAACCAGAACTACATGTGCCACATATGTAAAAATTTGCTTTTTATTAATAAAATCAGTTTATACTAGAGAGCCACATTCACTCACTCAGTTTGCATTTGCCAGAGAGTTGTCTTTAAGAGATGGCAGTTCTGATTAGAGTACAGAGGCATTTAAGGGATCTGAATAATCCTTTGTAATATTCATCCTTTTCCTCTAAAATTCAGCTACTGCATCAGCCCCACAACCACAGCACCTTTGATTTCCTTCTGAGATTACCTCTGCTTTCCAAAAAGGATAAGAAAATTATGAAACTTGACTATGGCTTTAGGGAATCTGTTGTCTCAAAAATAGTAGAAAGAGATTAGATAGGTTCAAGTTGCTTACTCCAGACTGCATTATTTCTCAAGTTCAGTGAATTTCTTGTTCTGACAGTAAATTGCTTGTTCTGAAGCTGAAACCATTCAGAAGTTAAGATTCAACCTGTGGTTCTTAGATCTTTGATGTGGTGAGAATTAACTAAATGATGAGAGAAAGTAATGAGGACTTAGTGATTCATAAATGGATCTTTTGTCCTATGAGAAAGATAAAATGTGGAAATAATGAGACTAAAAGATGTGCATGTGGTCATAGTCTTTACATTGCTTTGTAATCTTATTTAAACATTACTAATTACTAAAGGTGATTTAAAAGAACTTTCTTTACTGCCTAGTATAGTATATCCCCAGGTATTCTTCAACACTTGTTATTAAAGTAAGTGAGAGAAAATAGTGGTACAAAATAATAACAAAGGAATGAATACCTCACTGGTGTAAGAATATTTAGAAGCTCTGTAGGAGATTGATAGGCAGTGGCATTATCTGGATGTGTGTTCTTTTTCAAAATGGTAAAATGCATTTCATTTCTTTGCCATATAATCTCTGTTTTTAAGGATAACAAATCATTTAATAAAATGTTTAGATTACCTGTGGAATTATACCATAGAGTATCACTGATTATTTTTCTGTTGTTTAAGCTATTTAATGTTAATTTTCAGTTGCATGCTTTCCATATTTTTAAGACCTGTACAGATTTCTTTTGATACTTATCCTTATACTACCTTTCTGTGTCATCCTGTCAGCATTTAAGGAATACAAATTCAGATGAATTCTAATGCTGGTTTAAGCAGTATATATTGGTTGGGATCTTTGATGTGGTGAGAATTAACTAAATGAAAAGAGAAAATAATGAGGACTTAATGATTCATAATGGGTCTTTTGTTCTATGAGAAAGATAAAATATAAAATAATGAAACTAAAAGATGATCAGTGCATGTGGTCATAGTCTAACTGGTATATTTGCTAGGGGTGATAGTGAGGGAAAGATAGCAGTTCATGTTAAAACCAAATATTTATAAGTTGAGACTGTCTGGATTACTCCTTATTTTTTCTAGATTGTGAGCTGTTGGAAAGAGCATAAGCTGTGCATTTCCATTTGTGTTTCCTTGCAGTGCCAATCACAGAGATCCTGTGTATACCTGACATTCCCTACATATGTTAGCTAATTGAGTTAGCAACATATTCATGTGTCCGTAACACCAAAGAAATTTTCAGATTGACAGTTGGTGCAGTCACACAAGCTCATATCCGTCACAGTGGGCACTGGCTTTAAACAACAGTATGGGTGCATTAATATATATACCAGATGAACGTAGGCAGTGATTAAAGCCACATTTGCAGTTACCATTTGCCACATAGTTATATGATTACAGCATGTTCTGTAGAGTTTGCTATAATATAGATCACCTTAAGAATCATAAGTGGCTAATGAAAGAAAGATGTGGCTCAAGCAGTCTTTTCCTAAGTATTGCTTTTAAAAGTACTGTTTGTCTTAGAGAAACCGTGGGTTTTCTTTTTGCCTCCTTGAGAAATATTGAAAGGAAAAATGGGATAATTCTTTGGAGAATTAATTTAAACATTCTAATGTTGCCTTTGTTAACATCAGCTTTCAAATGCTTAAGTTTTTAAGACTGTAGAGCTGTATATGATGGAACAAATATAGTGATGTTGTATTATGCCCTTAGTTTGGGGTGTTAATCCAGATTTGTCTGGAATAGTCCTATTAAACCTATTGTCCCAGCTTAATTGTTTTTATTCACTCAGAAGCGCCTGGTGTGGAGGGTGACACTTATGATCAACTCTTGGAGGTGTACAGATGTGGCTTATTGCATGAGTAGACACTTATGGTGGCGGCTTAGTTGCTAAGTTGTATCTGATTCTTGCAACCCCAGGACTTCCCTGGTGGCTCAGACGGTAAAGCGTCTACCTACAATGCGGGAGACCCGGGTTCAATCCCTGGGCTGGGAATATCTCCTGGAGAAGGAAGTGGCAACCCACTCCAGTATTCTTGCCTGGAAAATCTCATGGACAGAGGAGCCTGGTGGGCTACAGTCCATGGGGTCCCAAAGAGTTGGACACGACTGAGCGACTTCACTTTTACTTTCATGGACTGAAGCCTTTTGTCCATGGGATTTTCTAGGCAAGAATACTGGAGTGGATTGCCATTTTCTTCTCCAAGGGATCTTCCTGATCCAGGGATCGAATCCTGATCTCTTGCATTACAGTCAAATTCTTTACCGACTGAGGTACCAGGGAAGGTGCTTTATTCAAGAAACTTTCACTGTAAAATAGTTAACAGAAAAGAGATATATTGTTTCCTTTCCCCCTCAAACACACATCTACAACATATGTGAAGTCTTGTTATAACAGACAAAGTCATATTTCTGGCCACAGTAGGTTTGTCTAAAGAGGAGAGGGCGTTTTGTATTGGCGAGTACAATAAGCATGTAAGGGACCTTCGGTACTAAATTAATGTTGTGACTTCTGGATTAGCTTTTCTAAATGGAAAAGTAATGTGCTTCCTTGCTACCATACTGATAGTAGCTTGAAAACAAGCACTGTAATTTATTCAAGATCTTCCTTAATTTTCAGAAAATCTGTTATTTTTAGTAATCCAGAAAATACTTTATATTGTATGAGTTTTTTCAGACGTACATCATTAGTGTGCTTTCATGCTTTCGCTGAGTAATAATAGAAATAAAAGCTAATGTTTATTGAATGCTACTATTGAAAGCACTGTTCTGAACACATTTTATGTTTTAGCTCAATTTGATTCTCAACACCATCTGAAGTAGATACTATTCTGGTTTTATGGATGAGAAAACTGGAATCAATAGCTGGAAAGTAGCAGAACCAGAATTCTAACATAGGCAGTTTTGCTTGAATGCCTATTTTATTGAGCTACCCAAAAAAAGTAGCTAAAAAAGTAGGAGTCAGACTTTATTTTGTTTAATTCGTTTAATTGAGGTTTGGGGCTTCCTAGGTGGCTCAGTGGTAAAGAGTCTGCCTGCCAATTCAGGAGGTTCAGCTTCAATTCCTGGGTCAAGAAGATCCCTGGAGAAGGGAATGTCAGTCCACTCCAGCATTCTTGCCTCAGAGATCCCATGGAGGGAGCCTAGGCTGTAGTCCATGGGGTTGAAAAAGAGTCGGACGCAACCTGGTGACCAAACAGCAACAGTCATTGAGGCTTTACTGTTTGCCTGATTTGTGTTAAGAAGTCTGCTTACTGATTAAACCAGTTTTTAAATACTTGTATGTTTGAAGACAAATTGTAGAATTGGAAGGATTGATACTATAGAGCAGTTGATTTTGTGTGGGTGTGTGTGTTTGTGATAACATGACATAAGGTTGACAATTACATCTTACCTGTTTGTAATTGTACAATTTAGTGGCATTAAGTACATTCACAATGTTGTGTTACCATCACCCTTATCTATACCAAAAACTTTTCCATCATTCATAACAGAGCCTATATATTCATTTAACATAATACCTTCCTCCCTACTGTAGCTTCTGGTGGCTTCTTTCTGTCTCTCTGAATTTGCCTACTCTTGGTGCCTCATATAAGAGGAATCATACAGTATTTGTCCTTCATGTCTGGTTTATATTATTATTTTTTAATATTTTTAATTAGCAGTTGTAAATAAACTTTTTTAAACTTCGGTCAAACTGTATTACATTTTATGATAGATTTTTAATTTAGATTTTAAGTGTTAATTTACTTTTAGTGTCATATTTTATGTTCATTTTTATATAATTTAGTTTGTTGAACAAGAAAAGGGAAGAGTCGGTTTAACTCCTGTCTTGTTACCTTAATCAGTGTTAAGGCTCATATGAGTATTGTTTTGTTAAGTCTTGGAAACAGTTGAAATCTAGCACATGAG